TTTCTGAACACCTCGCTGATGGTTTCTCCTTAGTGGCAAGGAATCCTTTTCTCTTGATTAGAATTTCGACTGATGTAGAATTGCAAATTAAGGTTAGCCGAGAGCTTAGGTTTTTGGTGGTAAGTGTTAGGGTGGAAAATTGGTGAACATATGAAGATTGGATCTTGAAAATTAACCAAAAATTACAATAGAAATTATTAGGGTATGGTGGGACAAAAATGGGAGAGGATACAACATCACCTTTTCGACGGATAAAGCCCTCGCAAGGGAAAACAAAGACTTCTATAAAATCTAAAATGAAAACTCACAAAAACATAACCATAATTCAACAAACACACATAAATACTGACTAATAAATAAAATATGAATAGAGGTTTCTCCTTTGGGTGCCAACCAAAAAGGGAGGAAAAAGTGGCAAAACAGGGAAAACATGAAAGTTTCGGCGACCCAACTCTCGTCTTCTGCTATATGTTTTCTCATGGTGTTGTGACAGCCACAGTACCGTGAGAAAAATGTTAAAAAGGAAATTTATAATTGGCAGAGGCCTAAATATCGATTTTCCATGCTTTTGGCCACATGATGAGAGCCCGCGCCATGCGCCTAAAATTCCAAAGCCCCCACGCCATGATGGGATCGAACCCTTGACCTAAGAGGACTTACAATAACCCCACCACCAATAAACCAAAGCTTGCGCACACACACACACATATACATATATTTTTTTATGAAAAGCCTAAGGGCTGATTTTATTGAAATAGAAAAGTATACATAAATGTTGTATAAGAAGAACACAAAAGAGGCACCCTACCCATACAATACAAGTAAAGTAATACCCCAACAAAAAGATACAGATAGACTCAATAAAATGCAAAACAAATTTAAAACATGCAAAAAACAAGTAGCTAGGGATGAGTCAGTTTATTTCTGCCTCTTCCTCTTGTTTTAGGAGCGAAACCAAATAATAAACTTTGAAGAGTCGTGTCATTGTCGGGAGTCACCAAAGTATCATCCATTAAGTTTCCAAGTTGGAGTGTGCCCCCAGCCTTTTTTCTTCCACCGAGAAGTGTAAACTTGTCATTCTTCATCTGAAGACTGACTCATGTGATCGTCGATCTGATTTGATGTTAGAATTACAGTAGGATGAAAGGCAGTAGTTGTCACCGCGATAGATTCCAGTGTATATGAAGTGTGAATTATTATCTCTACGCCTGATGCTTCCTGAATAGGAGCTGCGGGACTATCCTGATTTTCAGTTCGAACATTATTTGTTGTAGTATGGTCAGGAGAAGGGATCACAGGGGCAGACACCAACTCATATCTTGTGGTGTTCACTTCTCAAGTTGGTTGTCATCAGGTTTGCTGGGAGCGCGTTCAAACACATGAGGTGCACTAATATTGTGTTCCTGCTTTTGGCTATTAGTTCTCAATTGTGGGTGCAATCTGAAACATTTCTCATGGGGGTGTCCAAACATCTTGCAGTGCTTACAGTAGTATGGTTTTTGTTCCAAAATGATTTTTTATCAATAACCATTGTGAGCAGATCCAAGTCAGACTTCTTCTACATCTGGTAGTGTAATATCTCGTTCAATCAAAATCCTTGCAATAGAGAGCCTTGAGAAATGAACTGTAGGTAAGTCTACCTGCAAAGTTTTTTCAAGGATAGTCCCAATTGCATATAAGATATGTAGGTCAAAGAAATGAAGTTTGAGTTCAGGTAATGAGAACCAGATAGGTGCAATTGGGGGTTCTTGACTGGGATCAAAATTAGAGGTCCATTTGAGCAATTTCATATGTTTGCCCTTAAATGTGATGAATTTCTTTGAAAAAATTATCGTGTAATCATCTTCTGTGCTCAGTTGTATCATAACATGTCTTCCATCGAAATAACTCACATGTCAATCCCCAACCAGTTTGAAATCTTCAAAAACCTTCCTGATGATCTCCATCTTAGGGCAACCTAATTGGAACTTTCAAACTAGTGTAAATTTGTATTTTCCTGCACGAGTTGAAATTTCAGCGTCAGAGAAGAAAATTGTTGGTTTGCCCACTTTTTATCTATTTATTTGATGAGATTGCAATCGTCATTTCCTGCAATAGAATCATGGTAAATCTGCGGGCATTTCGCACTATCTGCGAGGTGAAAATGAGAGCTGCGTTTGTGAACCACTGTAACATAGGAGGGTTTGGCGGGGTTATCACTGGTGAGGGAGGCGACGTAGGAAATCCCTGAGGCCATTACCGCAACCAGTGTCAACCTGTAGCACAGTGAGAAACTGCACTAATAGGGGTGCGAGCAGCTCTGTCACAGACGAGACGCAGGAAGAAGCGGGACGCAGGTGTCGCGCGGCTCTGTCACAGAGGAGACAGGCAACGAAGTCGACCGCAACACTGCCGCCAGACGAGACGTGAACACAACGCGATACTACGCGACGCAAGTAAATCCTGAAGCTAAAAGCAACGCGAGACGCTAGGTTCTCCATGGGGCAGAACCCTAGTAGAGCAGAACGACGACATGTTTTCGATATCGTGATACATACACACACACACACACACACACACGATACAACACACATCAAAAAAAGTAAAGAATTGGTACATATAGAAATAAAAGTAAAAACTCAAAAAAAAAAACACCCAGGCGTTCAAAAGTGTGGGTCATCCCAATCTAGTCTTGCATCTGACTCTAGTTCTCGGTAGGGATCCAGCTAGCAGATTTGTAAGGTGCTGACCATTACCCGTAATAACAAAGTATCATCCATAAGACTCCTGAGCTCTAGTAGATCTCCATTCTTCTTCTTCCTCCTGGAAGTGTAAACATGTCATTCCTCCTCCGAAGAATCAGTCTGATGGGGTAGAGCTGAAGAAGTAAGATTACCAACAGTAGTACCCATAGTAGGTTCTGGAATATGTGAAGTATGAGTTGTCACTACACCAGATACTTCTTGAATTCTTGAAGAAGTGGAGCTGCGAGGCTCTCCTGATTATTAGTCTGAATGACATCAGTTATAAGTAAGAGTCCATCAGTATTGTTTTGTATGGATTTTGTAGGTGCCGACATCTCATCACTCGCAGTAGCAGTAACAACAGTTTCATGGGGGGATCCTCAAGGGCAACAGACACCTCATGTCTGGTAGTATCCTCCTCAGGTGGAACTAAAATGTCCACAGCAGTGGGGTTAGACCCATCCTTATTTACTTGAACTTTAGATTTCAAATTAGGATGACGTTTGTGGCATTTAGCAAGGATATGACAAAACATCTTATAGTGGGTACAAATGGGGGTTTGTGTTCCATGACGATTTGTTGTCAATAACCATTATGGGTTGTGCCCATCCAAACTTCAGTAATATCAGGTAAAGTAATATCCCTTTCCACAAGTATTCTAACTACCGAGGGTCTGTTTATGTTTAAAGTATGCAGATTTAGTAGGCAGATCTAGTTTCAAAGGATGACCCCAATAGAGTAGAGAACCTCATGTTGAAAAAAATGCAGCTTGAGACCAGATAAACTAAATCATACAAGTATAGTGGGAGTTTCATACTTTGAGTCAAAATTAGGAGACCAGTTGAGTAACTTCATTGATTTGACTTCGATATTGAGATATTTCTAGGAGAAAATTCGGGTGTAGTCTTTAACCATTGTTAGTTGGATCAACACATGCCTCCCATCCATGAGTCTCACTTTCGACTTGTCTACTAGCTTAAGATCATCAACACTCTTATCCATAGGAGGGTGTCCTCACTGAAATTTGTCAATAAGAACAAATTTGAATTTTTTTGTCATGGTAGAATTTTCTAATTCAGAGAAAAAGACTGCTTCTTTTTCTCATTTCCTACTTCCCTTCTTAATAAAAGGACATCATCTGTACCCTGATGACATTCCTTATAACTTGAGGGGAATACCACTGCGGACTCCTTCTGAGAGTTACCCACTATGCAGGCAAAAGAGATTTTGTCTGACTCAACCAAAGAAGAAGGAAACGCCATCAGAGGTTGTCGGCGTTAAACTGCTGCGAGGTTGCTGAAAGGAAGACAGAGGAGCTGTCGGGCGCAGAAGCAGGAGCAGCGCAGAAACAGAAGAATCGGACGCAGACGACAGCTGCGAGCGACAGAGGCATGGAGGATGTCGACGTTGAGCTGAGCAGGTGCGAACGTCGACGTCGGGCAGAGGAACAATTGCGACAGAGAAAGACGACGATGCGAGCAGTGGAGATATCGCGACGCGAGCCGCGACAGGGAGTGCGAACGTCAATGTCGACGTAGATTCAAACGTCGGAGCGAGGGTCAACGATGCGAGATCATCTCCTTCTAGCATTAGAATCATTGGCGACCAAAATCGCCATTGGAAGCCCTAGCGAAGCTCTCGACCGTAGCCGACATCGTGGATATATATATATTAATGATTACGACTTTATTTTTCTTTGTTTGCCTTACTTATCAACAAGAAAATTTGAAAACAAAAGTTTCAAGAAATGTCAACATGAACATAGTTTCTCTTCCTTTGAATGATCATAGAGTAGAACTTTTAATTAGGGTTTTTTTTCTTTATGTAGAGAACCTTATACGTTGATTTTCATCATGAACGAGGTTAGTAAAATTATAACAAACTCTATGAAAAATTCCTCTGCCCATGCTCAGGATTTCCAAGATTGATTTGATAATTGTATATTTTTTGCGCTCTCTTATTCCTTAGATATGTTTATTATTCTGCTGCACAACTTACGCTAATAAAACATTACCCAAGCTTGAGGTTATAAATTTAGTGCAGAAAAACAAAGAATTGAAGGTAAACAAGGAGCTTAAAACTACAAGAATCAATACATTTCATACTAAAAGTTGAGCCAAACAAAGCCGATACTGCCAAACCTATATAGAACTTAAAAACTTACATGCTTTCCATATATAGTCTAATCTATAACTTTGAGGAAGTTTCTGCTTAAAGATAACATTTAATGAAACAAATAAAAAAGAGAATAAAACATAAATAAATGACAAAACTAACATTTTCCAGTAATAAGTTGGCGGCTAGTCATTAAAAGCGTATCTTTGCATGCTTTTAGATGAGCGTTTACAACTTCTGCAGCCCAAGAAATTTCCTCTTCTCTATCGTTGTCTGTTTTCATAGCAAGTTTTTCAACTGAAACCTTCCCCAAATTAAAAAAGGAAAAAGTAAATACAAGCACATAAATAGCATGATAACATATTAGAGCTCACTAATTAAATACGGAATTACCTCTACACATCTGAGCTTGATATCCAATCGTGATTTTAGTTCTTCAACCTATCAGCCCAACAAATATTTGCTTGAAGTATAAACAGAGTTCAAGGAAAATAAAGTCTAACAAAATACCAAATGAGAAGTATTACCTGTTTTGTAGTTTTTGGTACGTACGAACCCACAACTATGAGTCCTCCATTCATTTTACCAGAAACCCCAAGATCACTAGGGCAAATTGGAGGCAGTGACTTTATCCCAATTCGGGCAGAAACAAAGCTGGCTGCAGTACGACAGAGAAATCGTTTCCCTTTATTCTCTGCCTGCCAATATTACAAATGCCGTTGTAATAATAATCACTATATGAGAAACGGAAACTTATGCTGTACATAAAAACTTTTTGCAAAAAATCTGGCGAACATTAAAATGCAAACTATGCCTTGATCATTCCTGCAGCAAATACAGCCATGTCTCTTTCACTTGCGGCATTCACAATACATGTTGATTCCTAAAGTCATCAAGAAAAGAAAATGTAAGAACCTGATCAGAGTATACGGAGAATAATGCATGGTTTAACATTAATTTCTCATGAATATGATTAAATCAAGGCTTTAATTTTATTCAGTAAACTAAAAGATCACGGGATACCAAGAACAAAACAAATATCATAGTAGATTTCTTTCTTTCTTTTTTTATTGTAACTTTTATCTTTGAAACAGTGAATGTATTATATATTACAGTATCAGGTTGGCAGATAACAAAAACCAACACAACAGGAAAGAACTTTGCAAAATAGTGAAGCCATTAATTTGGTTATTGACAATTAAAGAACTCTTAGAGAGTCGAACAACATGTCCCCATGTCGATGTAATATTCACAGAAATACAATCACCGCCCATACCATAATATGCCTATAAAATAAGTACTTTAGTTACCCTTTTTGTCCGCAACAAGCATTGTCTTGTCATGTGTTCCTTTTTTTTTTTTTTTTCATGTGGATGGGAAAAATTTAGGATGCTTTATTATTTTCCGAGTCAGCAGAAGGGTGATAAGCTGAAGCAAAATGTCACATAGATGCCTCAAAAACCATTTTATTATGATGGAATTTTGTAGCCTAATACAAAACTAACAACCACTAGGATTGCATTTCGGTTACCAAATTACATGAGAACATCTATTAGTACTATCATAAGGTGGAAATGATATGAAGTTAACTTTGAGCATATCAGCCTCAGCTCAAATAAAAAAATGTTCTCAACTCAAAATAAGAATTTAGATTGATTTTAATCCTAGTGATGTTCAAATCAATTTAAAAATAGCTGCAAGTCCATGACGCCAACCCCATTAAATAATATAATTCTAAATTCCAAGTTCAGTATATCGAGAATAAGAATTGAAGAATATATACATAAATATATTCAACATATATATAATATTAAAAATTATTATAAACTCAAGAATTAGATCAAGAGATAATATGAAACATACAAAGCTATTTATTGACCTTGTTAGAAGGTTTTTGTTCTAGTATGGATCATTGTTATTAAAGGTACTATGTGCTCATAAGACGCAAAACTGCATAACGTCCAATATGCCAGGTTCTAGCATAGACGCTCATCTCAGCCGAAACGATGCACTTAAAAAAATCACTTAATTTAATTAATAGGAAACCCTTAAGATCCTAGAAGTTCATTCAGAAGTGGGTGCTTTGCGGAGAGGGAGTTGTGCCATGATACGAAGAAGATAGGGGCGGTCGACAGCATTTGGACTAGGATAGGAGATAAAATCTGTTGTTGGACAGCAGGCTGGACAAGTTCAGCAGCAGTTTGGACTGAAAAATAGCAATTGACCGACGAAACAACGAGGAGGATCCATCATCTGTTCCTAAGCAAGATACAGACATCACTTGAAAAATGAAAAGAAAAAAACACACGAAAAAGCTTAAAATAAAGTTCAAAGTCTCCCAAAACACAAACATAATAGCTAGTTGCCCCCAAAACAAAAAAATAGACACATATACAGTCTCCTAATAGAGAAAACCTAATTGGAGAATAGATAAATAAGAAAGAATCAGAAAAAATAAATAAATAAAGGAGAAAAGAAATAAATATGCTGAAATCAGTGACACTCTTTCAAAGCGATTGTGAGATCCCGACTCCACATATCACAGGATTATCCACAATCAGGATCACGGTTACACGAAATAAAATGCTTCTGCTTCATTCTACTTCGCTAGGAGAGGCTTTTTCTTCTATAAAAAAACTTGGATACAATCGTCAGATGTTTTTTTTACAAAATATCTAAGGAGAACTCCAAAGCTTTAGTTCACCACACTTGTTATGCCGCAGTTGACTCAAACCAAAACTCTAAAATACGAATATTATTGTCGACTCCAAAGGAGGTTACAATGGAGACTCAAGTAAAGAGAACAATCACCAAAAGCAACTTACAGGATAAAAGCAAACACAAAACACAAAAAAGGACAAAAAAGCTTAAAATAAAGTTCAAAGTCTCCCAAAACACAAGCATAATAGCAAGTTGCCCCCAAAACAATAAAATAGACACATATATAGTCTCCTAATAGAGATAACCTAATTCGAGAATAGATAAATAGGAAAGAATCAGAAAAAATAAATAAATAAAGGAGAAAAGAAAGAAATATGCTGAAATCAGTGACACTCTTGCAAACTGCGATTGTGAGATCACGACTCCACATATCACAGGATTATCCACAATCAGGATCACAATTACACGAAATAAAATGCTTTTGCTTCATTCTACTTCGCTAGGAGAGGCTTTTTTCTTCTAGGAAACAACTTGGATACTATCGTCAGATGTTTTTTTTACAAAATACCTAAAGAGAATTCCAAAGCTTTAGTTCACCACACTTGTGATGCCGCAGTTGACTCAAACCACAACTCTAAAATACGAATATTATTGTTGACTCCAGAGGAGGTTACAATGGAGACTCAAGTAAAGAGAACAATCACCCAAAGCAACTTACAGGATAAAAGCAAACACAAAACACAAAAAAGGATGAAACAAACAAACATGACGAGTAGAAAATCGGGAGCGGAGGAGTATGAAAAGTTGTAGCTTTACTAGGAAAAGTCTGGCAGCAAGTTTGAGGTAGGAAGAAGTTGGGCTGCAGCTAATGGAGTGTGGGGAAGAGGTTGGACGGAGGCCTACAAGAGTGCAAGGTGGAGTTTAAGAGTTGTTAGGGACGTTGGAGTTAGAGAGCAATGGCGGGAACAGGAAGGCCAGCCCAGAGAATGCAAGGAAGGGGTATTGCGGCTAATGGGAGGACCTAGAAAGACTTCTGGATGTGCAAGAGACAAGGAACAACAACAGGGAGAGTCCGACCAGAAGGCTGCTTGTAGCAATTGGAAGCAAGACAGCAGCTGGAGGTTGTTGGGGAAGAGGTGCGGTGGCCTGCTGAGAGGCTAGGAAGCGGGTTGACAACAGTAGGAAGAGCAGAACGATAGATAGATATGTTGTGGGAGTCGAGCTACAACAGGAGCACCACCCGAACTCATGGAGATGATCACCACTTCGAACAAAAGACAGCAGGAGCGCTACCTCGACGTCGAATACAACTCTCGAAGAAAAAATCCAAATGCTAAAACCTGAATTCATATATCAAAGCAAGAATCCTCACTCTAAGCACATCATCCTCTATTTATAATGAGTTTAGGACTTTATTTTAGGCAATCCTTAAAATAAGTAAGAATATCAAATCAGGATTTTAGATTTAGGAAAGAGGAATAAAATAATAAAAAATTCTGATTTGGAAATTCTGTTTAGGAAAGGGATTATAACAAAAATTCAGATTTAGCAAACAGGAATAAAATTATTAAAAAGTCCGATTTGAAAAGACTTACATCAAGAAGGTGCTAAGAATGAAAAAGGCGAGGGGAGAGAAAGGGAAGGGAGAAGTGGCAACGCCCCTCCCTTTGAGGACCGGTCAGTCCTCCATAGCCCCCTGCATCAGTCTCCCGGTGTTGGAGGAGCTTTGACTTCATAAGTCGAAGCTTTTGTGTCGTTGTTAGCCACCCTTAGATCCCACTGGTGACTGCACCATCTTCCAAAGCATCTGAGAAGCTTTTCCCACTTCCAGGTTGATCTAAACCACAACACTAAAATATGAATATTATTGTTGACCCTAGATGAGGTTACAATAGAGACTCAAGTAAAGAGAACAATCACCCAAAGCAATGGTACAGGATCAATGCAAACAAGCAAAACAACAACGACGGGCAGAAAATCCGGAGCAGATGGATATGGAGAGTTGCGGCCTTGCTGGGAAAAGGCTAGCAGCAGATTGGATGCTGGAGTAAGGGAGCAGTCATGGGAAGAGGAAGGTCGGCCCAGAGAATACCAGGAAAGGGTCTTGTAGCTGCTGGGAGGAGCCGGAGGGGCTATTGGATGTGTGGGAGATGGGAACAGCAGTAGGGACGACAGCTAGAAGACTGTTGGGAGTAGTTGGAGGAAGGACAGCAGCCAGCGGTTGCTTGGGAAGAGGTGTGGTTGCCTGTTGTAGGGTTGGAAAGCGGGTTGACAGCAGTAGGAAGGATAGAATGATAGAAATATCTCGGGGTGGGGGGGGTCGAGCTACAGTTAGAGCACCACCCAAACTCGTGGAGATGATCACCACCTCGGACGAGAGATAGCTGGAGCACTACCTCAACATCGGATACAACTCTCGAAGAAAAAATATCTTGTTAATGGAGTCTTTCCTTCAGATCAGGTTTCTAACAAATGTAGGATTGCAAATCAAGGTTGGTTGGGGGTTTAGTTTGGTGGCAACTGTTGGGGTGAAATTCCCGTAAATGTTAGGTTTTGAAAATTTAAAGTTGGAGCTAAGAATTACGGTAGGAATGATTTGGGTATGTTGATATATTTTTTTTTGAATTTTTATTGGAAAAAAGAAAGCTGAAAAATCTAGAGCTTGTTGGACTTTGATACTGGATGATATCATTCTAAAGCTCCTTGAAAATGTTTTGAAAATCGGATTTTATGAGGAGGTAGTTATGGAATGGTACAAAGAGGATAGGGAGGGTCAATGATGTTTGGAAGAGTATCGGGTCTGAAATGTTGCTATTGGACATCAGATTAGAGGAGTTTGGCAGCTGTTTAGACTAAAAACAACGGTCAACCGACGAAATGGCGAGGTATGGGTAGCGAGGGGAGTCCACCACATGTTCCTAGGCAAGATACAAACACCACTTGTAAAATGAAGAGAATACAACATTATGAAGAGCTTTAAATAGAGAACAAAACCTCTCAAAACATAAAAGTAATAGCTTGCTATCCCCAAAATAGCAAAATAAACATATATAATCTCCTAACAGAGAAACACTAATTAGAAAAATAGATAAAAAGGAAAGAATTGGAAAAGGAAAGGGAAAAAAATATGTTCAAATCGGAAATGGCCAACCTTATATTAAAAACCGTGGTCGTGGGATCCTTGATTCCACGTATCACGGGATTATCTGCAATCGGGATCGCAATTCCACGTGAGAAAATGCCCCCAGAGCAATAACACAATAATCTAAAATTGTAGCACATTTGTCAAACTTTTTGTTATTCCAAATATTAAAACAATAAAACCGTTGCTAAATAAATTTTCTAAAACAAAGCAACTACACAACTTAAAAATTATGATACATCTTAAAAATAAGTAGATTAAAACTTGAGTTTCTAGCTTTCTTAGCATAAAGTTAATAAAATCTTCTCTATTTTACATCACTGAATTCATCACAAATGTTCCTAGGCAATATACAAACATCACTTGCAAAATGAAGAGAATACAACATTATGAAGAGCTTTAAATAGAGAACAAAATCTTTCAAAACATAAACACAATAGCTAGATATCCCAAAAATAGCAAAATACACATATATAGTCTCCAAATAGAGATACCCTAATTAGAAAAATAGATAAATAGGAAAGAATTAGAAAAAAATGGAGAAAAATAAGCTGAATTTGGAAATTGCCAACCCTATATTCAAAACCGCGATCATGGGATCCTTGATTCCACGTATCGCGGGATTATTTGCAATCGGGATTGCAATTCCGTGTGAGAAAATATCCTCGGACCAATAACAAATCAATCTAAAATTGTAGCATATTTGTCAAACTTTTTGTTATTCCAAATATTAAAACAACAAAATCGTTGCCAAATAAATTTTCTAAAACAAAGCAACTACACAACTTAAAAATTATGATTCATGTTTAAATAAGTAGATTAAAACTTGAGTTTGTAGCTTTCTTAGCTCGAAGTTAATAAAATCTTCTCTATTTTATATCACTGAATTCATCATAAATACTCACACAAACCCCCCACCCCCACCCTCTCTCTTCTGCCACACCGACCCACACTCACTTAGATGGCTCCTCAGTAGTGATGACTTCTTGGGAGGCATTTATGACACAAGAGGCCTGCCCTGCCTCACTTGAGCACCAGGAAAGAATTCAAAGCAAGTTTGGTGATACGGATTGTGTTCGAGTCAACCTATGCTGGGGTTTGGTTTGCATTCAGGTCAACAATATTAGACTTTAAAAAATGCTAGCCCAAAAATTCCTGCTTAACTTTTATGATAAGTGTATATTTATTTCTTCCAATAAAATTCCAAGTTAAATAGAAATTTTATTTTTATTATCCCTAATTCTGAAAGCACTGAACTAATGCCAGGTGCTAGAGTTCTTGTTTGCTTTTTGCACAAAACGCAAAATGAAGCGAGGTTTTTGTTAACTAGAGCATTCAAGAATTTTTCACATATATTATGCCTATACAATAATCATTTAATCAACTAAAATTAAACAACATATAAAAATTGTCAGCAAACAAATAGATACAAGCAATAATACCATTCTTTAAAGAGAAAAAGAAATATACAGACATAAAAAAAAATGAAGTAATGAAAAAATACTTAAAAAATCAATAATACTCATGAGATTGAGAGAAAAGCAAAAAGTAAGACGCAAACGCATCATGAAGCAAGAGTGTGTAAAAATTAAGCATTGGAATACAAAGGATACATCTAGAGCATTCTTAAGAAGCTTATGGGCGAGTAGTTGCTCAACAGTGAAGCGTGTAAAAAAAAGCCAGTAGGTGGAAGTATGAAGAGAACCAACAATAAGTGTCTAGCTCCAATGAGAAAGAAGAGAAAACCAACTAGCTTAATGAATACAAGAACAAATAAAGATAAGTAAACATTCGTTCCGTAGTCATCATGGTAGATGTTCAATTGCACTACAAAATCCAAACGATATTCATGTTCAAAATGGAGCTCAGCAAACACTTTGTTGAGAATTTATGACTCGCTAATAATAGATGCATTGGGTCAAAAGTATGATTTGAATAAAACTTACTATTATCTCAGGTTTTGTGCATACAAATGAAGTCATTTTGTTCATTTAGTACTGGGTTAATACTATATGACTCATGTCAAATTGGTTTTAGTTTCATCTAGCTTATTTTGGTTTCATCAAGTTAGTTCGGTTTTATTAAGTTAGTGATACCGGAGTTAACCCAAACCAAAATAGAAATAAAAATATTATTCCTCAATTCAAATAAGATTATAATGATGACTCTTTAAACAAGAAATAAATGATAACAAACATAAAATGACACAAGCAAACATCACTAAAGTGTATCCCAAGGGCAGTGGAGGTCAGCTAGGTGGATCAGGATGGCTAGCTGGGTTTGCGGCAGCAAAGGAATGCTGGTGTCAGGGAGGGGAAGGTGCAAAAATGCAGGGACAACATGTATGGATGTTGTACTGGGTGATCGCAACGAGGAGTTGGGGTTGATAGCAGAGGGACTACAACAAAGGGGAGTTGGGGTGATCGCAGCTCGTGAGTTGCATGGTTAGGGTTGGATTAGGAGGTGAAAGAGGGAGAAAAAATGATTTAAAGTTGCTGATTTTGCAAATCAACAAACAGAAATTAAGGTTATGTCAAAGTTTTGGCAATGGTTTGGGAGTAGGAAAGAAATTTTTTTGTGAAGGGGAACTAAAGTTATGCTAGTTCTGATACCAAATGGTGTCAAAGTTAACTCAACCTAAAATAGAAATAAAAATATTATTGTTGAATTCAAATAGAATTATAAAGATGATTCTTTAAACAGAAAATAAATAATAACAAACATAAAACGACACAAGCAAACACCACTAAAGTGAATCGCAAGGGCGGTGAAGGTCGGCTAGGTGGATCAGGATGGTTGGCGGGTTTGGGGACAGAAAAGTAATGCTGGTGGCAGCGAGGGGGAAGGTGCAGAAATGCAGGGAAAGCATGTATGGAGGCTATCTTGGGTGGTGGCAGCAAGGGGTTTGGGTGGATAGCGGCGGGACTGCAGGAAGGAGGTGTTTCTTGGAAGTTGTGGGCGACAGCAGTCTAATGGGAGGGCTGGGACAGCAGGAAGGTGGTGCGGTTTGGGCTGCAAAAATGTTGGAAGGAAGGAGAAGGTGGCTCATATGCTGAGAACTGCAGAAAACAACAAACCGAGTGCTATTGCAGGTGGCTGCAGCGAGGGGCAGGGACAAGAAGAGGTGTGGGAGGATGCAAAAGAGAATAGGAGGAAGATAATCACCACACCTCGAGAGAGATGTACAGTTAGAGCGCCACCCAGTCCCTCGGATGCAACCCTCAAAAAGGGAAAACGGACGCCGACGACTGTTCTAACATAAATCCAAAATTTAAAATTAAACAAAAGCTAATCCTAAGCAAGTAAAGCCACACATATATAATAGCGAATATATAAAATAGAAAAGAGTTAGAAAGGGCGGGAAATAGAATTAGGAGGGGAATAAAAAAAGCCAAGGGAATAGTAAAAAAAAAAGGATCGTGGTACTGTAGCAGCTACATTACCAAGACCAGTTAAGCTCCAGCTTCAATTGGATTCAGACTAATCTTTTCAATATATTTAATAAAGACGGGTTCAAATTGCTCCATTTAGAACAAGTTATATTTTAAGTGAACCTGAATTTTGACCCATTTACACAATGAAAATCCAAATGGAAAAACACAAAAAGATAAAAACAAAATAAAAAAAATGAAAAGATAGATAAAAAAGAAAAAGGTTTAGAAAAAGCGACCACAAACCCATGCCTGAACAAAGGACATGGCATTCCAGAAGAGTTTCAAGTTTGTTCAAGGATTTCATATCCAAGGCAAATTCCAATGATAATTCAATATAAAATAATAATTCCATCCCGATGATTCATATTTATCAAGTAAAATTCTCAATAACAAACTAACAAACTTAAATACATGGGTTAAATAACTCTGATAAAATAAAGTTTTTTGAGGTCTAGAAAGTATAAAATGATTCAAATATACAATGAAAAATAAAAAATGTAAAACTTTTATCATCACATGCACCGTTCATCATGTCAAATAAAATTCAGGTAAAACTACAACTAAATATGTTCAACTAAAGCTATGAAAAAAAACGATGAGATGGAATGTGCTGGTCAAATTGAAATTAAACAATAAATATTATTACCTTCTCCAGGCTACATAGATAGTTGCAAACACCTTCTGGCCCAAACTTACGCAGCAGATCAATAGAAATTGATGCAACACTGGAGGCTGGAACCCTCCCCTTTGTTTTCTCTTCAATCCACTAAAAAAAATTGTAAAATATCAGTTTCCTCCATACATAATGGCATTCAACTTTCACAGGACAACCTGTAAGAAAGAAAGCTAATACCTCTTTGAGGTCAGATGATTTGTAGCCAAAAGCAGCATCTTTAGCGAACTCTGTTTTCCCAGCAGGAACAAGCCTATGGCAAGGAAATTCCGTCCATAATTTCAGCATTAAAGAGTCGAGTTGACCTCCATCCTCAACTTGAGTTTGAGCTTGAGATTGATTAACTAATCGAGCTCGAGTATGAGCTCGAGATTAATTCTAAGAGTTTGAACCGGTTTGTTTATTATGAAAGAAAAAAAATAATATTAATTGAAGCTAGTGTTAAAATAAAATGACAAATTGAATTAACAATTACGAGAGAAATAATAAAAATTACTTTAAATAAAATATTAAATATTATTTTTTAAATATTTTTAATAATTAAAAATAAAATCTTAAATTTTAATATAATATATTTATATTAATTATTTTTCAAACAAGACGGCTTACGAGCTAACGAGTCGAGTCGGGACTAGATTGAGCCAGTCCAGTCAGCTCATCTAGCTTAGCTTAAGAGCCACTTATTAAGACAAGCTAGAGCTAGCCGGGGTTGGATTGGCTCAGTTATACTCTTATATGTGTGTACGTATGAAGATTTAAGATTTACTGTTAACCTTTCAGAATCTGCAACATAATGGATATCATCAATGGTGTAACGCCCTCCTTGAAGGAAGAATGGACAGATGATCCATGCATCCATTTCACCTAACACGGAAACTGCGGCATCAGCTTCCTGTAGGAACCAATTCTCAGTTCCAGAAATAAGATTGGTCAACACTCTCAAAAAAGGATTATAGAATAGTTAAAAGCAATAATTGTCCATAAAATGATGGCATGCTTGCCTCGGGGAAATGACCACGGAGGGTAGAATCACCTCTAAGAACCACAGTGTAATTTATGCCTTCAACTGTTTTAGAGGCAGTATCAACATTCTTACAGATTTCTTTGATCAACGAGATAGCCTAACAATCATCAATGCATAACTCGAAAGCAAGTAAAATAATTTAGTTTAATGACTGAAATTTCGGGCATATTATAATTGCACGATAAAAAAGAACATATGGATGCTAAAATAAGAAACTTAATGCAAAACTGGAAATTTTAAATAGATTGAATTTTCTACCTTCTCAGTGCTGAGAGAACGGGAGTTGGTTAAAATAAAGAAACATTTATGTTTCTGGCTGAATTGTTTTGCCAGCGTATCAACACTCCTGCATTTGTAAGAACTCACTAGCATCATTTACAAGAAGTGCCTCACAGTCTTAATTATGAAATTTAATTTCTGGTTAAATGAATTTTCTGTTCATTTTAATTGCCAAATAATTTAGTCCAAAGCACGGCTCATTACAGAAAATGCATAAATGGAACATTCATATGAGAGTAATTCATGCAGTTCAATGGCAGTAAGGACCCATAAGGGAAGAGAAACTAGAAGAGAAACCAAGAGGAGCCAATAGAAAGCACAAGTCTACAACACAGCAAATCCAACGAGGGGGAAGCAAATAGAAAACTAAGACTGTACAAAACAAAATGTCAATTTATAAGAATAGGCCTAATTTAAAATGAGAAAACTCCCTAAAGCAAATATAAAAAATCCTAAATAACTCAAAAACCGACCATTTCACCCTTCAGGCAAAAAAACAAACTACATAAAATAAATGACAAATTATTTTGATAAAAATAAGGCTAAATACTAAAAACTTAAATTTTAAGTATCTTGTACAGCATCTGTTTTGTATAGGAAATAATATGCTAGCACAATCTAAAAGCTGAAAGGGAAGACAATTACCATTCTGTTAGAACTTCAATGTCATGAACAGTTTGAGTGCCGGTAGGATCATCATCCAAAACTATTAAAACTTGTGAACTTTGTGATTGCACTGTAATAAGATCTTCGTGTGGATCCTCTGGCCATTCTGGAGGAAGATGCCCAAGGAGATCTTCTTTGTTAACAGGAGACATTCTCCCTCCCACTTTAACTCCTGTTAGTGTCTCATAAACCTGAGATATCACCAAAAATTCAAAAGACTAATGTTATGATAATAGAAAATTTACTAGTATGCATAAGTTGCATAAAACGTCAGCTGGTCCAAAGGATGATTCTTCACTTAAAGTTCCTATCATTAGAAACAAAAGGAAGGAGTTAGAAATCACTGGACTAGATCAACAAGAGTAGATTGATATCAAAATATAGAGCTTTCCATGGATTAAACTTGTGATCCTTCAATGGCTTATGCTATACATATACAATGGCAATTATAATCACCAACCACAGCCAAACTATATAGAGTAAGCATGTGAATCCATATGCACCATTTACTCGAAATAAATTCGCATTTTATGTTAGAATGTCGTTAGAAGTCGAGCAGTGCTTTTCCTTAAAATGACAAACAAGATAGAAAGTAGTAACAAAATGCAAAAGAGTGATGGAATGGAGGAGCTTTGGAAGAGCTGAGCATGTTGGGGGTGATGGCCAGCATTTGCAATACGTTGATTGGGTTAAAAAATCTTACACATAGATCACAAAATTTTTTCTGGGTACCTTTCTCTTCAATACTAGTTTTGTCAAATGTTCTCAGGGTAAGTGACTCCAGATTGTCCATTTTACCCCGGGTCATCCATCCGAGTTAAAGACCAGTCCAACAGTTGTGCCTCGGTGGAGTCCCATTTCCTTAAACATTCTAGGTCCAATGTCCATGTTCATGGGTTGGTCTCTCCTAGACTTTTAGTCTTGTCTTCAATATAAATATTGGTCAAAACTTGCATTAGAAATTCCATCGACTTTAATAAAATCCGAGAATAGAATTCTCTATTTTACTCTAGGATTGTAGTGTTGTATCCTCCTCTTTCAATTGGTGTGTTGGTCGCATCATGATTGAGTGCAGGTGTTGGTGTCTTCCTCCATGCGAGAGCTTCTTCTCCATCCATTTCCACTCCAAAACCCAGTTTTCTTTCTAGTGCTGATGTTATTCTTTTACCCAACTGCTGTATTCTCAATTCTAACTACAGCTCTATACCAGCTTTGATTCATTCCACCCTTCTTGACCACCAAGAAGGGTGCCAAAAAACATCAATTACCTATGTCTCAAATGATTAGTAAACGTCACTTTGCAAGAGAATGTAGAAACAGTAAGTTGGACATGCATCAAAATCTATCTCTTCTTTTCCTATAAATGATGTTCCAATTTGTACGCATACACTTCAAGCAGTTTAAAAAAAGCCTTTTGTAAATCTATAAATTTTTATATGTTTTCAATAACAAAATCAGAAACAGTGGTCATTTTGAAGCCCTTAAAAAGCATTGGAACAAGGATTTGATTCTTTCTATCAAATTCATCAAGCCAAGCTACTTTCTTAACACGTTCAAATCCACTGATTTCTTTGACACAATTGAGAAAAAAATATGTATAAACTCAGTGGATTTATAATCATGAGCAGAAAAGGGATGACAGCAATGGTGGTATGATACCAGAGTTGATCCAAATCACAATAGAAATGAAATATTGTTTCTAAATTTCAAAGGCTATAACAATCACTTTTCAAAATAAGAATAAAAGAGTACAAAACATACAAATGGCCCTCTAGGTGGACAGCGGAAGTGTGGACTGCTTGGGGTGATGCGACAGCAACTGGAGAGTTCGAGAATGGTGTTGCAGTAGTTGGAAGGGTTGAAGGGAGTTGTGGCAGGGTCTGGAAGGTTTAATAAAGTTGCGGCAGGTCTGAGATTGGGCTGGGGGGAACTGTGTCCTATCTGGAAGGGGTTGGAGTAAATTATGACAGACCAGAGAGGGAGGAGCCCGGCGGGAAGGAAGCTGCAAGCAGGGTAGATGCGGGTGGACATGGGTGTCGGCACTAAAGAGTCGTGGGGTGTTGCCCGTAAAAAACTGTCGGTCACCGGAATTGAAATCTCATTCCCCGCTTCAGAAGGACGTTTAATTTACATATATA